GTAAGAATATAATTTTTTCATTTTCATTAAAACAATAAAAATGTATTAAGCTTATGTAATATGGAAATAAACATCATCATATAAAATAATGATTTTGTAATAATTTCTTTAAAGAAATTAGCTTAGTTCTAAACGATAATATATGGGTTTATTTAAAAACAATTATTAGAAAATACTTCTCAAATATGCTGTTGTACAAGAATATTGAAAATGAAGTTATATTTAAATAGTTACTGTATTAAAGTAAAGCCTCTTCTTTGTTACTTACAAAATTTTATTCATTCTCAAAATTTGATTGATTGATTTTGATTAAACTTCACATTGGATTCCTCATTACAATTTTCCATTAACACATTGACTGCCATGGTACTTTTCAGGATTCCGGTGTAAAAAGTCAACTTAATTTAATTATATTTTATTATTGAAAACTCTAATTATAGTACATACTAATCATCAAAAAACATGTAGAATGCGTTTTTTTAAAAAAAAAGATCTTACGAATTATCTTGTAGCTGGCTTATGTAACAGAAAGCTCTTTGCTAAAGCCAAACTACAAGTTTATTTGTGCACAGACAGGATTCGACCTGTCGCTTTGCTACAGCCGAGTCAGAGATATGTGTCTAAATTCATTAGTAATAAATCAGATGTAGAGTCAAGCGCATCACATTTGAGTATGTTGTTTTATAATTATTTTTATAATCAAATTATAAATGCCCAATATGGATAAGAAAAGACCACTGACTGGAAAACAACTTGATTGAATCTAAGTGATTCAGAATCCAACGAAATTTTTGGTGAGGATGGTAACAACAGTAGCAATTATGTACCTTCTGAGGATTCAAGTACACAATGCGCACAAGCTTTTTTCAAAAAGCAACTTCTTCTAAAATAAAACTTATAAAGTTTAGAGAAGCATTTGTCAATGCATTGATTGGAGAAGAGATTCAACCAGTTTAAAAAAAATTAGATTGCAAGAGCTTCATTATTTACAGAATATCCCACCTATCGAAAAAAAACAGTATCCAACAAAACCATGTCAAATTTGTACCAAAGCTAAAAAATGCCAAGAAATGTGTTATTTCTGTCCAGTCTGTCCAGAGAAGCCAGCCCTTTGCATAGAAGATTGTTTTAAAAATTATCACAAACAATAAAAATATTCTTTTGATTTTGAATAAACTTTTTATGATTATATTTTCTGTTCATTTATTAATAAATATTCTGTTCATGTAAGCCAACCTTGATTTTTTGTTTTTGCCCCTGAGGCTATCTATTCATATTTACACTGATATACTATGAATTTCATCGTAGCTACACAAATATGGCAAGTAAAAAAACTACAAGATAACTTGTAGGTGGCATCCTAGGCAATAACACAAACTATAAGTTGTTTTGTAGTTGGCAGCCAACATGTTAATTGTGATGAGGAATCCAAAAATGTAATAAAAAATGGGGGTCAGCACCTTTGTTTTCAAGACTCAAAGTTGCTAGCAAGAGTGCCTTTAACAAAGTGACATTGTGCGATATCCCAACGTCACTAGCACATCTATATGTCTTATAGAGTTGAGTTGGTTCTCAAAATTTGATGAGCTAATTTTAATAAAACTCATTTTCTATTAATTGCACTGATGAATCCAAAAATGTAATGAAAGATGGTAGTTCATGATTTTGTTTTTGAGATACAGTGGGGTCATAGTGACAATGTTCATGTTTCCTGGCATAATTGAGCATGCCTAACAGAAATTAGGGGGCAAAAATAAAAAAAATCATTATGTATTGACATGTAACATAGAATGGACACAAAAAAATGAACAAAACAGAAGAACAGAGCAATTGATGCCAATTGCTTTGTTCTTGGATTGTCTCTTCTTGTTGGCAAGTGCAGGATTATTATAAGCAGTATATTATATATGTATGTGAGACAATCTTAAGTTGGAAAAATAAATTTCTCTATAAAGAAAAAAACAATATGATCTAAGCATGATTGAAATTGTTGATTTTCAAGTTTTAACTCCAAATGTTTCTAGTAATGCTTGGCAATATTTGGCTACAAATATCTTCATATAAATTCCTGTTAGTCTGTAGAATGAGATGCATTAAAAAAAAATGAAAATTGATTTTTCTGATTTAAGGTACCTTTTTACAGATTGCATTACTCACACACATACATGCACTACAAAAGGATGTAATGTATGAAGAGTGTTTATTCATTTATATAAATATTACATTTATAGCTGATATCTTATATCTGAATGTTTTATTTGAGCAACTATAAAAAGATACAGCTTTTGAAGTTGCTCAGATATAAGGTATATCAATCATTTCAAGAAATTTCAGGTTCTGTATTCCATGCCAATTGTAAGTATCTTTGTTTGAAAAAGAAATAAAATGTTACGGAAAGTGAGCAATCAGCATAAATTGCTAAAACATTGGTCAGTTTTTTTTCATTGTTAATTGTCTACTTGGACTTTTTTTTTATTGTTAATTGTCTACTTTACAGTCCAAGTAGACAATTAACAATAAAATATTAAAATTTAAGGACAGTAAGGCTTTTATAATCATTGGTCAGTTCTTTAAAAATTTATAATGCTAATTTTCAAAACAGAAACCTTAATTAATATTTATAAAATTTTAAAAGGTACAAATATTTTGTAATATTCATAAATTAAACTTGATTGATTTTTGAATATATTTAAATTTGAATGAATTTTATGAATGATGTTTTTAAAATAATAGAATAATCAAATAAAATTAATTTCAATAATATATTTTTAGGGACCACAGGGATTTCAAGGAATACGAGGAGAACCAGGAGAACCTGGACCACCAGTAAGTAGAAATTATTATATTTTTATAAAATTATTTACAAAATCAGTTTGATTTTTATTTGATATTTAATCCATGAAAATGTGCATTAGTAAAAACATTAGTTATACAATAAATACATATATATATATGTATATATACACACTGTATGTACATGACAAATTAAAAATTTTTAATATGGTCCATTATATTAAAAAATATATATATGAACATATAAGCATATAAAGATACAATAATAATACAAAGATAAAAAAAGCATATAGTTAAGACTAAGTTTATAATTGTCAATTGCTAACCTATATTTTACAAGATTTAAATGCAAATGAATTCTTTCTAGGAATATTTCAAATGCTATTTTTTTTTTTATAAATTTTAATTTAGACTAATCATATAGGTATATATGTTTATTATTATCATTGATAATGATAATAATATATATAATAATAATAATTTTGAACTATTTGCATTTGTAATGAAAATCTTGACATTAGAGTTATCAAAATTGTTAATTTTAAATAATTTTGACTGCATTTTATGTTACAAAAACTTTTAAAATATTTATAATTTTATAGGGACCACCAGGTCAAATTGGTGAGAGAGGTTTACCTGGTTTACCTGGAAAAGATGTAAGTTGAATTAATTTTATTATCTAGCAAAATATTTTTAGTTTTGTTTACTATGAAAACTTGTATGTCCTGTGAACATCAATATGCAAAGATGGGTATAATACAAAATCTGTATTTTTGAATCTTCATAAAACAGAAAAATTGTAATTTATAATATTATTATTATTTAAAGAGTTACTTTTTTTATTAGTTTTTTGTCTTGTAATAATTTTTTATTAGTTGTTTAATGTAAAATTTTTCTGTGCTCTTGAGTTTTTACTTATCCATAATTACATTTTTTTTAAATTAATGAATCTATTGTATTTATATATAATCTATCTATTATATATAATTGTTTTTTCCACAACTTCATGATCACAGAGAATTATAAAATTTTTATTTCAATGTTTTATAAAAGAATGATTACATATTCATTTACAAAGTTAAACATGGTATAAAATATTTCAAACAAAATAAAACTTTTTAAAATTAATGAATAAATATTATTAAGTCTCTAAATAGAAGAAATAAAAGTTAAAGATTAGTATAGTCATATTATTACTTGCATAGGATATAAGTTGCCGTCAAGTAAAACTAATCAGATATTTAGAAGTAAATAATTCTTTAATCTGATAAAAATTTTAAAAAGTGACATTTTGACTTAAAATTAAGAAACTGTACAAGAAATAAGAAACTCTTAAACAATAGTGTAATTACTACACTATTGTTTAAGAGATATTCAATTTTCTTATTCTATGCATCACCTCAAGCAGATATTGGAAAAGCAAAACGTTTATTCCAATCTATAATACTGTAATTTAATCAAATTCCGTTTTTAAAAACATTTTTTGTATTGTTGTTTGATGTTGATTTAAATAGTATATTCTTTTTTCAAACATCAGTTTAATTTAAAATAAAATTAATAACAAATACAAATTTATAAACATATTATACTAAATAAAATTTAACTATAAAATAATATGAAATTTATTGTTTTTAGGGAGAACCTGGAGAAGATGGTAGAATGGGACCACTTGGACCTGCAGGACCTCCTGTAAGTAAGAAGTAGTTTTCATGCTGTAAATTTTCTTTTTGTAGTATTTTTGCTGATACAGAGTATATGTACCATACATGCTGTGTTTTATTAATTAAACAAACTAATATTATTTTTTAAATGACTAATATTTTTGTAAAATGTTTCATTTATTATATATAAATGCAAATGTGGATTGAAAACTGAAAGTAAACAAATTTTCATCAGATATTTTCACATTATGTATTGAACTATTGTAGTGCAGTTTAGCCAAAGAATCATAAGATACAACACAATTCTTGTTATTGATTTTTTAATCATACAATCAGTGATAAAATGTTGATATAACAAAAATCACAAATCATAATAGTGATTCTGTTTGTCTCATTTCACATCTTTCATTTTTATTTTTGCTTGCAAATAAAAAATATGCCAATACTTATCATCAGAATTACACAAGACTAGTATAGTAGAAATAATGAAGGAATTTATTCAAGTTTCAAATATGAATCAGTCTTACTAATAATTATTTTTAATATGTAATAATGTTTTTCTAAACTGCCAAAAAGTAATATTCTTATTTCAATAATTAAATTTATATTAAAATCAAACAACTGTTTTGTATCAAATTTTCAAAACAAACTCCATACCTGAAAGAAAAAATCTAGCAATGAGTTGCAAAAATTAAAATTGTGTGTGGTGCTATCTGTTATATTTTTTTTAAAACTGTTTTTTTTATTAATTATTATAAAATGGCAAAAAGCTCAGTTTTGAGGATAGAGATGAGTTTTATAAAAAATTGTATAAATGCTAATAATGAGTAAAAACTTCATTAAGTCCAACCCTACTTGAGATATAACAAATGAACTTCCTTTATCTTTCCAGCCCTCAATCTTTAACCATCAAAATTTAATAGCATCAATTCCTCTAATACACAAACATCTCTACAAAATTTCAGAAATTTTCAACAAAAGGCACAAGAGTTATTAAGCTTCAAAGTGGATGAACAAAATTGTGCTCCCCCACACACACTAACATTCATATACAGGTAGCCCTCAGTTTATGCCAGCTTAATTTACACCGATTCACAATAATGCCGCTGCGTAATTCACTGTTTTGCGGTGTAATTCCCCAATTTTCCCTATGCCAGACTGATTTTTGTTTCAGTGTTGACATATTACTGAGCCGCAACATTGTACATTTGTTAAAACAAAGATTTTTTTTGAATATATTTTTTCTGTTTAATATTATTGGGTGTATATATAATTGCATTAAATTAATATTAAAATACTAAACGTTTAGGTTTCCACGAGTCAAGTTATTAAACTTAATAGTCCAATAAATGTCTAAATCCAGAGCGCTAATGAATGCAAATAGTTCGTATCCTGTACCAGTTTGTTCAGGAAAACACCTCACGATGCAGTAACACTTCTGGCAATCACAAATTATTGTTAGTGAGACGAAATCTACTTCTCGTTGGCCAGACGATACCTTCTTATTGTGGCTTGTGAGCACTAAGATTGGCTTTACTTTACTGCTAGACTTATTACACGACCACAGGACATCAAATTAGATTTAGAAAAACACTATTTTATTTTTAGAATGCATTTGACATGGAGTCCCTCATCAGCTTTTTGATTTGACATGTGGATTTGATGTGTTGAACATTAATTAAAAGACTAAGCAAGCGATAAAACAAATTTTTCGAATTGTCTTGTTACTCTGTTCATGTTACTGTGAATCTACTTATCATTTTGTTTTAACAATGTATATTTTTACGACTTTACTGTTTTACCAGAACCTCACTTTATTATTATGTTATTGTATCAACATTACCATTTTTAATGGAAAATTTTGTTTTATTGCTTGCTTAGTCTTTTAATTAATGTTCAACACATCAAATCCACATGTCAAATCAAAAAGCTGATGAGGGACTCCATGTCAAATGCATTCTAAAAATAAAATAATGTTTTTCTAAATCTAATTTGATGTCCTGTGGTCGTGTAATAAGTCTAGCAGTAAAGTAAAGCCAATCTTAGTGCTCACAAGCCATTCAGAAGACTAGACAAGAAGCATATCATAGTATTCACCTTCTTATTGGCCAGATGATATCTAACTCTCCTTACTGAGACAAAATCAATTTCAATTTTTCTGCCCAAACTAACCTTATATGTGCTACGGTAGCTGGTGGCCGACCAATCAGTGTCTCTGCTCGTCTGTAGTTCTATTTCAGGTTAGTGTATCCTTTCAACTATGGAAAGTTTGACGGATGAACTTTGTGAGTTACACAATGATTGGGAGCGAAATGCAAATGTAAAAAGGAGCATCATCGCATTCATTTGACCATATTCTGAAATTATTAATGAAAGAAAACAAAAATCTAAACAATTACAAATGGATACTTTTTTCTGAAAAATGTAAGAGATCCGAAACTTTGAAATATTTGTTTTTCTTAAGATTTTTTAATAAAAACATTTCATTTTATTTTATCATAAAATACATTTTAAAAAATTAAATTTATAATATATGTATTTTGTATTAATAAACAAAATTATTTGCTTATTTTTCACTTATGTGGAACCTAACCCTATACCTCACTGTAAATATGGGTTCATTTTACACCAATTTGATTTGCACCGGCTTTTGTAGGAATGGAACTGTGGTGTAAACCAAGGGCTATCTGTATACAGAAAAAACCCCAATTTTTTTTACATTTCTCAATGTTTCAAGGTCCTGTGAGAATCTATTCTTAAAATTTTATAGTAATCTCATGCAACGTTGAAGTTAAAATGCACAAATGGTAAAAAAAGATTAATTATTATGATAAAAATGTATTATTTTTATTTATTTATTTATTCACTGAAGATATACAGGAATTTCCTTTATCTGGAGGAGAAATACAAAATAAATGAATGAGAAATAACAAACCAATTATTAGTATAAATACAAAAAATTTTGTATAAATGTTACAGATGTTTTTATACATTACTTAGAAGATTGTTCCAACAAATAAAAAATAAACTTATAAATGTTATATATTTATACACTGAAGATTTAGCAAAATTATAACAGTCATCCTATGGTCAGTGGTGTAGCGTGGGTGTCAGCAGCCCGGGGCAAAGGAAAATTTCGCAGTCCCCTTATTTAGGTATCTCAATTTAAAAGACTAAAATTCAGTTTCGTCACAGAATAAGTAATGAAAAATTCTGTGCTAGTGTTGCCACCTTATTAAAATCGCTGACGCGGACGGCAGGTGAGGTTTGTTCGAACAGAAGTTCCTGATGCATGTGTATGTCATTTTGCAATGTGAAGAATAATGTGCAGTGCAGTGCATGCCAGTTCTAAATCAGTTACAGTTAGCAACTAGGGAGACTTGGGTAGGATAACGTAAGTAACCTAGATGACTTAGCTCTATTGGATTTTGGATATTGGAGATGTATATGAATATGAATGAATCGTACAAGCAAAAAGAAAGAAAAAAAAAAAAAAAAGGTCGACAGGATTGCACACGAAATCCCTGGGTAAAATTAATAGTTCACACAGGCTGTGAGTCGATTCCCAGACTGTCCGGATGGTAACTCTATTCCATGCTCATTTCAATTGATCCGAATCATAGGTGCAATGAAAGTATGAAATGAAGTGGTTCAAATTTATACAAGATATTATTATTACTTATTGTGAAAATTTGCTGTTCCCTAAAAAGTGCCACCCCACTACGCTACGCCACTGCCTATGGTAATATATTGAAATATTTTTCTCAACAAGTTAATTGTTTTACATTTTAAGAGAAGGTGTATAATGGAATTCTTTTCTTGACATTCTAAACAAACACTTGGGTATAATTTCAGTAGTTGACCATTGTATCATAAATGTAATGTATTTAATCCAATTTGTAATATTATGGATATATTCTCATAACATAAATTATATTGAAAAAGATAAAGTGTATTTTTAGACTGAGTATGGATGAAATTTAGAACTATTTAATTTTTCAAAGGCAATTTTGTGATGGATGATATAACAACCAGGTTCTGATCTGTTGCCAGTATTTGTTGATATTTGTTACATTAGTTAATATATAATTGAAATTGAAACCTGAAGAAGAAACAATTAAAGATAGATTTTTAAATCTTTGTATATATCTACCTTTAATTGCCTTATTAATAATTCTTTGTAATAATGCAAATTCAAGGTAATCTGTGATTGAATAATACTTATAAGAAAATTTCTAAACAATTTGATAATGCTAATCTTCAATAAGAGTCTTCCTGTTTCTGTTCTAATTCTGTATCCCAATACAGAGTGATCTAAAATAATCTAAAAAAATGAAGCTGAATACTCTTAAGTTATCAAAAAATTAAAAAGACCATAATGGAGCTAAATAAAAACAAGCATTCAAACATTAATTGAAATAAATGATAAGCCAGTTTTAAATTATTAAGTTTCATTTTTAAAATAAGAATATCATCATGTTTTTATTTATTTGAATAGCTTGAAACATTATATATTTTAAATGAACATTAAAGGATAATTTAGTGCCAAGTATCATACATAAATATTTATATTGATTGACCATATCTATTTGGCAGTTATAAAGGAATCATTTATCTGTATTTTGGATCTTTACAAGGTCATCTTTTCCTCTTTTGTGGTATTCAAGTGCTGTTTACTGGGCTGAGGAGAATATTGCAAGGAATTAGAATTCAACTCCCACATAAAATAGAATAGTAATAAATTTTAAACTAAAAACAAAGTCTGTGTAATAAACTGATAATTTTTCAATAATTTTTTCAAAACAAAAAAAATCCACAACACAAGTCAGCTCACATAAAATCATGCCAACATGTAACCAAATCAGTAACACTCTTCAAATTTAAATTAATAAAATATCTAAAATTAATTTTCAAGCTTCATTAATTTTGTATTCATTTCTATTGATTTATAAATCTAAATATTGCTAAAGAGGTTGTAAACAGGATACTTTATGTAAAGTATCTCTTGTTTGCTGAAATATCTGTTTATATATAATACAAAGGAAAGTCATTAAATAACAGGAATTTTAATCTAAAATTCATGAAAATGTGTGCACTGTGAAAAATATTATTGCAGGATGTAAAATGACTCCTTAACAATACTCCATATAAGGGTTGAAATGATTGAGTGGTATATGCCTGCACAATAGCACATACAAGATGGCCTCTCCACTGTCAAATTACACAGTGCAAGAGCAACAAAGTGTCATTCATTTTTTATGGTCAGAGGTAATAAAACCTACAGAATAAAGGTTCAGTATGGAGTCAGTTTGAGTTAGGAGAGTGCATGAATGGATAGAAGATAAAATGTCAGTGATGGACACTGGAGTGGGAGACCAGTTTGCATGGCAACTGAGACAGTGAAACAGAAGATCAAGCAGTGAATCTGTGACTACAGGATGTTAATGAAATTGCTGTAGAATCCAACATGTGTCACGGCTCTGTATGCAATATTATGCTTGGTGACCTCAGATATAGGAAAGTGTGTAGCAGATTGATGCCAAGGTAGCTGTTCATTGATTACAAGTATGTATGGCATACAATTTGTCAGAAACACTTGGATCATTACACTTGTAAGGAGGAGATGCTTTCTTCCATTTAGTTGTGGCAGGAGACAAATCTTGGATGCACCATTAGGAACCAGAAAATGAGAGACAATCATCAATGGAAGCACAACTTCTGTTCAGCAAAAAATTCCAGACACAGGCTTCTGCTGGGAAAGTCATGCTGATGATATTTTGGAATGTTAATGGTCCTAGATTGATGCACTTCCAGGAAAAAGAGTCAAACTGTGACTAGTGCTCAATTCAGTGACGTGCACATAAACGAGTTGAAGCTTGTGATCTCAAAGGGACGTCTCTCAAAAGGAGTTTTGCTGCTTCATGACAATGCCTAGCTCTGTATGATTATTCATATAGTGGATACACTAAGTGATCTCTAATTTGAGGTGGTGAAACATCCACCATATAGTCCAGTCTTGGTGTCATTAGATTTTCTCTTGTTTGGACTTTTGAAAGAATAGTCGCAAGATCAGAAGTTTTTGCTGATGACACCTAGGTAATAGAGGTGGTACAAAGTTGGTTAAAGGCCATACCAAAAAGCTTTTTTCCTGAGGGCATTCGGAAGCTTGTTGACTGGTGGACCAAGTGTGTTGCAAAGTAGGGTGACTATTTCGAAAAATAAGACACAAACAATTTAAGTACCCTTGTAAAAAATGATTACAAAATTTCTATTATTTAATGACTTTTCATTGTAATATAAAAAAAAAAGCTCTGAATTTAATTAAATGAATGAATATTATGCTTTTTTTCCTACTATTATTAATTAATTATCTGAGCACTATAATGAGCTATTTATTGTGCTCAGATAATTAATTAACTAAATGATGCAAAATATTTGTAGTTATTTCTCTAGTTCTGATTTACATAAAATAGCATTTCTCAACCTTTTTAAGCCCAAGAACCAGTAAAATATGTGAAAAAATTCCATGGACCACTAAGTTATGTAGGACTAACTTGGAACATACTGTGCCATTCATAACATGATGGGTGTAGATGCAAACATCACACTCTTCCCTTTTTAAGACTTTCAGAAAAATGCAAAAAACTATTTATTGTTGACACACACGATATATTATAACAATTTTTTTTAATGATATCTTTGTTGGCATAGAAACTACTTGCACACAGTCTCAAACTCTTTGTAAAAGAAAGAAAACTAGGATTTAACTTTAAAATATGGACAGTGTGAGTTTTGCAGTGAATTCTGGTTAAATGTAAGTTTTGCAACAAATTTATGTGGAGAATGTTAGTTAAGAACCAAAACAGTTAACATAATCAAAAACAACAAGAACCAAGAAAAATGAATCTTAACATAATTTTATTGGATGGATAATAAACACCAAAAATCAAACTGCACACAATCTTTATTAATTACAGATAGTGGAAAACTTAATGTAATATTTCAAACATTGACGTAACTTACTTCTTCAATAGGTTCACAATTTGGCTCATCTTCTTCATAGTCATTAGAAGCCCCATCAATGATATTTGTGTAAAAAAGCAAATCTTCATTCTCTCTCCACTGATTGCCCTAATGTTTGTTCAATAAATTATTTACATCATCCTTTTTTACTTATTTTATTGTGTTTGATTTAGGGATAGCAGGTGAATTCATATTGAACATTAGCATTCCTTGCTTTGTTAGGGACTTGTATATTCCTTGGTCAGATCTATAAGTATATTTTCTCCTCTAACAAGTACTCTTTTTCTTTGAGTTCTTTTCAGAATTATTCTTCTACATGCAGCAAGCTGAAAGTGAAATTGAATTGGTTTCTTCATAAAGGCATTTTTTCTCCTTTCCAATAGAGAACCTGACAGTCTTCACCCACTTTCATTACTTTTGAATGTTCCTTTATAATGTCTATGTACTCTGAAGGATGTAAATGACTTCTTTCTTCCTTATTGCTTTTTCTATAATCCGAAACACCCTGTCTGGTGGGAGAAAGCTGTGCCCTGTGATAGGGAAAAATCCTCCATGTTTTGATAGCCAGATACAATCCATGGACAGAACAATTGAATTTTTGTTCTGGCCACCACATCCATAGCATACTAAGTGAACTGTCTCTAAGGGCTCTTCCATTTTTGATGCCATTAATGTGTTGAAAACAGATGACGCAATCTCGTTTGAGTCTTTCAAAAACTCATTTTCAGTCCAAACGTAAGCTGTCACATTATTAGGGGTCAATTTACTTTTTGAATTTGAATGCATTATTACAGCAGGCACATCAACATAACTGGAGCAGACAATCCCATGATGTTTTGTGTGTGCCAAGGGCTCTCTGATTGGTTGAATTGAAGAGAGTGAATTTTGCTGTAAAACAGCTGTTGGATAATATGATGTTTGCTTCAAAATGCAATTTTCAACAATTTTTTCAGCCTAAACATGTGAGTGTTAGTCAACAACACTATTACAGTCTTAATCACCTTTACAAGACGGAACACAGTGATATGATTGCTCGTACTGCCAAGAATTGGATAATGTAACTTTTGCATCTATACCCTTCACATAATAAATCTAAAAGCAAGTTTTGAAAACATATGGAAACATAATGAATTAAATTGGAAATAACCTGTTAAAAGTGAATCATCATTGAATAAAGTTTTAATGTTTATTAATTTAAGTTTGTCTGCAGACTACCTGTCCCATCATTGTCAACTATGGGTCGAGAAATTCTGACATAGAACATTTAGTTTGTTTTGAATATAATAAAAAAAACCTACCTAATTTTTTATAAATTAGATATATATTTTAAATATATATCAAATTTATAAACTTGCATTAATGATAATTTAAATTACATATGATACTTAATAATTAATAATTAATGTGAAATAATTAATAATAATAATGTGATAATGTGATAATAATTAATGTGAAATTAATTGATTATTTATTTGTTTATTGTTTAAATAATATACATATTTTGAAATTATATCCCGAACATAACATAAATTTTAATGCAATGTATTCTAACTACATAATCAATTTGAACATTTAAAAAAAACATGCAATTTTTGTTAGCCATTTTGTTCTATATCGTTTGTACCTGATGATGTCTATTTCATATAGATAAAAACATTAGTAAATTTTTCTTTTCGTAGTGCTGGTGTTGGTTCTGTGAGTGGGGGAGTATTTTAAATATCTTTAATTAATACTAAACATTTTAAAGCTGTTTTCTTTTATTATTACTAAATTTTTATATTATTGTAAATGATGATTAAAAAATATATGAAATATCAAATTAAACATCAAATTTAGTAATTCCAACTGTAATTAGGAGAGATTTTGGTCATAAAAATTTTAATAATACAGAAATTTAAGCTGATTAATAATTATATGAGAGAAAAATTACAGAATTATTCTGATATTAAAATTAAATAAATATTGTAATTCAATTTTTGTTATTTTATATTTCTTTTAGGGACCAAGAGGTTTGCCTGGAATGCCTGGCCTTCCTGGAGCCAAAGGACACAGGGTGATTAATTTTCATTTATCAAAATTTTTATTTAAAAAGAACAAAATTAAAATAATTGATATTAAATAGTTTATATCATTATTTTAAATTATAATAATTATTATGAATTTTATAATTTTAATCATAAATTTTATTAAGTTTTGGATACAAATTTACAAATTTTAAACAATATTACAAATTTTTATAGGGATTTCCAGGGTTGGATGGTGCAAAAGGTGAACAGGGACCAACTGGAGAAAAGGTTTTAATTTAGTAAATTTAATATTATATTAATTTATTCTGTTAATTGATTGATTCTCTTTTAATTTATTTAAGTTATATTATAAGTAACTTTTCTGTAATTAAAAAAATTTGTTGTAGCAATTTTGATATGATACAGAGAGTTTCTATTTTATTTTAAATTATTTTTGAAAAAATTAGTTTCCCTTATAAGTTTGGAATATATACATCAATTAAACAAATTTTAGTAATTTTAATTGCATTAATATATTTACAATAACTTTTTAATTTTAATATTTTTAATAAATATTTAATTGTTGTTTTTACTGAAAATCAATATTCTAGTTTAGAATTTTAGTCAAGAATGAAGATAGTTTAAAAAAAAATTGAAAGTTTTTAATTGATAACAAACTTTATAAAAAATTCTTATAACAAGTTAAATTTTGAATTGAAATTTTGAAATTTAACAAAACAGATTTATATATTTTATATTAGATGCTCAAGAATTTTTTAATCAAACTTTTATATTAAATAATAAAATATACTAGTTAGTATTTGAAAAAATTTAAATAGATGAAATTATTAATATTTAATACAAAACTCATGCTATTTACTTGTTTGTTTTTTGTATTGTTGTTATGGTTTATTTTCTGATTGTGAAATTACTACTTTAATTTGACACTGTTCAGTTATCAGTAATTATCTGTAATCCAATTTAAGGAAAATGTAGATTATCATGTCAACATATTAAAATTTTTATTTTAATTCTGTATAATTTTATTTATGATTTCTTTATTAATTTCAATAATTTATGAATCCATTTGATTATAAATTATCTTTCTTCACTTCAGGTTATGCAATAAATCAACATTAAAATTAGTAATGTTTTGTTTTTAATTTCAAAAGAATTAAATTTTTGAAACTATCTTTGTTCCTTCTGTTTAGTGTTAAATTATATTTTATAAAATTTATAATACATTCAGCATTGTCTGTAAATAAAATAAAATAAAATTGCATAATATTCAAACATTCCAAATTTCATGTATTTTTAATATAATAGCAATGTTAAACTGTAACAGTATTATATTCTATTATCTTATTAAACTTAGTATAATTTATTAAATTTATTTAAAATGAATTCTGAAATTATAGTTTTAATAATGTTTTTATTTTAAATATTAATTTAAAATTCATTTACAATTATTTACCTTAGTATTTAGTTTATGAATAATCTTTTGAGCTATTATGATGGAGCACACATTTGAAAAAATTCTGTTAAAAAGCTTAACATGTAGTTTTAAGAAAGTTGTTAAATTATTTGATAAGTTTCTTAATTTTTAAGAAATAAAAAAAGATTTGTAGTGAACATATCAAAATAATTTTTTCATATATTTTATATTTCTTTTTTTATAATTTTATTTATATTTTAGTAGCAAAATTAAAAGACTATTATACATGTTAATTTATTTTAAGCTTATTTCATATATTTATATATAATTTTTCTATTAAATAAATAATTTATATATAATTATTTATATATTCATTTATAATTAGCAGATAAGCCCAGCATTGCTCAGGTAAAAAGTAATGATAGTGAAGTTTAAGATTATTACATTATAGCCAATCTTACCTGTTTTTACAGAGTGCAAGAATTAGATCCTCCTGTTTCCAGACTAATTAGAAAATTTTTAAATGGGCATAAAAATATGTTCAATTTCTCGCAAAAATGCAAAAAACTGCATCTGTGCCTGTAAATCTTGCATGTCGCTTTGTGAGGGTTAAAGATGTACGAGACAAGTATTCCAACAAATACCAACTAAACAATAGTTTATTACAACCGGAATTAACAGATAATACAGTGATGCCCGTTAGAGACAAATACACAGATATATATATATATATATAACAGGTCTCTGTTCTCGTTCGGATTCTTACAATGAATTGTTATCACGATACGGATTCTAATTACTAACTTACAAATAACTTATAACTAACTTAATCTAACACTACACTAATGAGAGGAAAAGGAAGGAAGGAAAAGTCTACCGGTATTTAGCACAGGAGGTCCTGATTGGGGTTTCCGATGATTGTGGGGATTTTATCGATCGACATTGGAACATCCAACATTCCTGGTATGGTAATTGTCACTTGGATTTTTGTAGATCACTATTTCTTATCGGACAAGACACTAGTCCTTTTCCTTTCTTTTGGACTACTCTACACTCAGTACGTTCGGCTTGTTCTTTGTCCTTGAGGTCCGACTTACTGTCCCGATGATACTTTCGCAACCTCTTCTCTTCGTGGCCCAGGCAAAAAGTGTCCCTTTCTCACCCCTTTGTTCTCCTTCTATATCCCACGGGCAGGGCCCCTCCCTGTTCATGTCGACAAGCCACCAATCAGGACCCACGAATTTCCCGCTCCTGTCGGGTGACCGGAAATGGTCATTAGTAGAAAGAAGAAGAAGGAAAGGAAAGAACAAAGAATTCTAAATCTAAATACTATAGCTATGTATATACAAAAATGGCAGACAGCCACAACCTGAGGAAGATCTGAAGTTCTCAAGTGGATATTGTACAGCAACTACAAAATGTGAAGAGTTTATGATATTCCTTACTGTCTTTTTTCACTCTGTTCATGGAACTTCTCTAACATACTATCCTTCTATTATATACAATGAACAATCACTACATTAAGAACACCTGCTTAATAATGGGTTGATCCACCTTTCTGGGTGATCACAGCTTGTAAATGCCAGGGTATGGACCCTACCATATGCCAAACATCCTCTATTCTTAACTGGACCCATGCCTGCTCAATCAGTTTTGTCATTGGTGCAGATTTTGAAGAGAAGTGAATAACAACCTCACCACACATTCTAACATATCCCAAATATGTTCAATAGGGTTTCAGTCTGGTGAGTTTGGGACTAAAGGAGTGTATGGAATTCATTGTCATGGTCTCCCAACCATTCTTGAGTATGCTGTGCCTGGTAACATAGTATCATTGTTAGGAAACATAGCCTGGAGATACACATACAGATAATCATTCCTTGTATCATTCACCATCCAAAGATTGTGGGATAATGACCAATGGCCCTAGATGTTGTGTTCTTAATACTGCATGTAATCTGTTCTGGTAGTCAAGTGTTAATCTTGAATACCAGTGTTTTATCTGTGCATGTTCTG